TCATTAACACTAAAAACAAACCTGGGATGGGAAACGATGCGTTCAAAATCGTTTTTTTTCTCGCTCTCTTTGCCAAACAGGAGCTGAAGGAGCAGACCCAGGAGTGCCACGCTCAGCTCAAAGACCAGGCCTCCCAGACCATCGGCGGGATCCAGACCGTCCGCAGCTTCAGGGCGGAGGAGGGCGAGCTGAGGAGGTACCGCCTGGCTCTGGACCAGCTCTGCGCCATTAAGAGGCGTTCAGGGATCTACAGCGCCCTGTTCCTCATCATCAGGAGGGTGAGGAGGCTCAGATCTGTGCAGGGTCTCCAAGCTTTCAGCCAAATGAGTCATATGGAGTCAATTAGAGTCATTAGATTCAGGCGGCTGTGACAAAAACAAGATTTTTATGTGCAATTAAAATGAATATTTTAGCCAGTGACCAAAACAAGATTTTTATGTGCAATTAAAATTTTAGCCAGTTAAAATGAAAAAAGACTACGTTTCCATTCTAAACATGCAGGTTTTTATGTATTTATCCATCCAAATCTCAGCTAAAAGCTCACAAAAATAAACATTTTTATGACAAGCAAACACATCTAAATAAAAAAACCTTTTTAAAAAGGTGAAGAATTGTAGATTTTTGGCACCCAGAATGTCTATATAGGACCTATACATCATATAATTAAAAAAAAAAGAAGAATCCACCATATTTTCGGTGTTCCAGCCAATCTTCTGATGGATAAACTCAAGTTTTAGCTTTAATCTAACATGGAATAAACAGTTTGCAATTAAAGAGGAGGTCTCTAAGCTTTCGGCTAAATGAGTCACCTCCCACTTCCATATGGAGCCAAATACACTCATTAGCTTCAGGCGGTTGTGACAAAAACAAGATTTTTATGTGTAATTAAAATGAATATTTTATCCAGTTAAAATGAAAAAGGACTAAGTCTCCATTCTAAACATGCAATTTTTATCTTTTGAGGCACAACAGGTGCACAGGTGGAGGGCATTTGTCCACAGAAACATCCAAGTCTTAGCTAAAAGCTCACAAAAATAAACATTTTTATGACAAGCAAACACATCAACTTATTTTTAAAGGTGAGGAATTGTAGATTTTTGGCCCCCACAATGTTTTTATAGGACTTATACATCATATAATGTAAAAAAAAAGATAGAATCCACCATATTTTCTGTGTTCCAGCCAATCTTCTGATGGATAAGTTTTAGCTTTAATCTAACATGGAATAAACAGTTTGCAATTAAAGAGGAGGTCTCTAAGCTTTCGGCCAAATGAGTCACCTCCCACTTCCATATGGAGTCAAATACAGTCATTAGTCATTGTTTTGTGACCAAAACAAGATTTTTATGTGCAATTAAAATGAATATTTTAGCCAGTTAAAATGAAAAAAGACTACGTTTCCATTCTAAACATGCAGGTTTTTATGTATTTATCCACAGAAACATCCGAAACTCAGATAAAAGCTCACAGAAATAAACATTTTTATGACAAGCAAACACATCTAAATAAAAAAACCTTTTTAAAAGGTGAAGAATTGTAGATTTTTGGCCCCCAGAATGTTTTTATAGGAGCTATACGCCATATGATGTAAAAAAAAAGAGGAAAAATCCACCATATTTTCGGCGTTCTTTTTTACTTGTGATGCTTATATTGTTTATTATGTGTTCTTTCTTATGTATTTGCCTGCCTAGGGACTTCGTATGAAAACTAGCTTCATAGTTATAATCCGGCATATTTACATTTGTTTTTATACTGATGTTCATTAACTCATTGACATGTTCTCTCATAGCGAACCGTTACCTTTTTCTTATTTGCCTACAGTCTATGCTCATCTCCCATCAAAAGTGGCACTGCCCCCTAGAGGGTCAATTTGTTACTAGATACTCTGTCTAGAAGCCGATATTTACGGACAAGCTTTAGCAGATCGTCCCCCAGCCAATCGTGTTGAAAAACATAAAAGACGTCTATAGACGTCTTTGGCAGGCAATGAGTTAATGTGCTTTGTCCCTATTCAAATAAATAAATAAATGTAGAGGTTTCTGTTCTGGGCCGGTTTGGGGTACGGCCCGTCTCATCTCTGTGCCTCTCTGCTCTTTAGATAGTGACCGTGGGGATAAAGATCCTCATGCTGATGCAGGCTCGGAGCCTTATCTCCTCCGGCCGGCTGACCACCGGCAGCCTGCTGTCCTTCCTCCTCTACCAGAAGCCCATGTCCAACAACCTGAGGGTGAGCGGAGGAGCTATACATCATATCATGTAAAAATAAAAGAAGAATACACCTTATTTTTGGTGTTCCAGCCAATCTTCTGATGGATAAACTCAAGTTTTACCTTTAATCTAACATGGACTAAACAGTTTGGAATAGAAGAGGAGCCTCAGAAATGTTTTAAAAAGTTACACTTTTTCTGAGACAAATAAAGCTAAATCAGAAGCTGGCCTACTCTTCTCATCCAGGTATAAAAACTGAGTAGAAAAATGACTCACATGGTAATAATTTTCTTTTAATGTTTTTTTCCCTTTTTTACCTGTGATGCTTATATTGTTTATTATATGTTCTTTCTTATGTATTTGCCTGCCTAGGGACTACGGATGAAAACTAGCTTCGTAGCTATAATCCGGCATATTTACATTTGTTTTTATACTGATGTTCATTAACTCATTGACTGCCAGCCATTTTCAGAACAGAGAGTCCCATACTGCCAGAGTTTTTTGAGCATTTTGACTGACCACCAACCCTCCCTCTCCCCCACAGGAGATCCTGTACTGCTATAGAGAGACGGTGTCCACAGTGGGAGTCATCTCTAAGGTGTTGGGGTACCTGGACAGGAGGCCCCGGACCCAGCCGGAGGGGGACCTGGCCCCCGAGCATCTGGAGGGCCGGGTCCTGTTCCAGAACGTGTCCTTCAGCTACCCCTCCGCCCCAAACAAACCAGCTCTGAAGGTACTGACCCCTTTGAGTATTGAATAATAATAATAATACATTTTATTTTGAAAAAGCTCCTTTCATGTCACTCAATCTCCTTTCATGCCACTTTACAAAGACGACCGTCATTAAAACAACATTGAAACATAAGAAAACATACACAGTCATAAATACACCATGAATAAAAACATAATAAATTAATAAAAAGGAATAAAACCGTGCAGAATGAGGGAAATGTTAGAGTTAGAGGTGGTGACGTGGGTAAAAATTTTTAAACAGGTGCGTTTTGAGTTTTGTTTTGAAAAGAGGGAGAGAGTTGGTATTTCGGATGTCAGATGGCAGGGTTAGGGTTAGGGATTAGGGTTAGGGGTTAGGGTTCGGGGTTTCCCCCCATGGTGCTGAGGTTAGGGGTTAGGGTTAAGGGTTAAGGGTTGCCCCCCATGGTGCTGAGGTTAGGGGTTAGGGTTAAGGGTTAAGGGTTGCCCCCCATGGTGCTGAGGTTAGTGATAATAATAATAATAATAATAATAATAATAATAATAATAATAATAAT